AACAAATCAAAGACTGGAGTATGGTAGAGGTAAGTGAGGAAAGAGATTAGACCCCATGCCTCTTCCTTATCATCCTTGAGCTGGTCCTGAGGTGTGCTACCACCATACATACATAGTGTACATGATTTCTTGAGCAGCAAACTGAAGGACCAAGTTTTCAAATAAGTTTTTGGTTACACTTGGACAATTCTTGGAGCAGTTGTGGGGAGCAGATCAGCCTGTACTTAGGTATGTGCTCAATCAGTGCTCATCTGCATGGCTAGCACAGATCATTGTACTGCAAAAATGCTTTTGTCCAAAGTAAAATCAAAAGGAGAAGTTCTTATTTTTTCCATAAGTGAAAAGTACACTTACTTCCCATGCTCTGCAAGCTATTTGAGGACTAGAGCCAATGCATTCCGGTTTTTCCCACTCATGGACCCTGATACAGTATTAACGTACACCACAGTTTTTAGTGAAGCTGAAAATCTTTATTAAATTAAATTCCCATTCAAACTAAGAAAGTAGGACTGTGGGCAGGTAGAGAGGCATGGGTTCTTCATTTCCAGATGAGCACACAGTCCTGCATTCCCACTCACAAGTCACCTCTTTCATTCTCTTTGACACTATGTGGACAAATTAGAATTATATCGACTTTTGCCTCTCAGGTGCTCTTGGGTTTTTTTGATATTGTGGATCTATTAAAAAAAATGGCTATGCCTTAAGGGTGCCACCCACAACCTGTGAAGGGTTCAAAGGCCCACTAGTAGTCACCTCTCTACTGTCCCCAACATTGTAGCTGTAAGTGTGCAGTTGTTGGAAATCTGCACTATTACCAAACCATTAATACTAATAAATTTTAAATTGTATGTTAGGAAATTCTGCAGGCAATTAGGTCAATTTACTAAAAGAAAAAAAAAGTAGGGCACTGCATGTTCTAATAAAAATGTTATCTGTCCTTTTCCCATCTTGCCAAAGTTACTCGACATTGGATTGGAGACATACCCGTATCACCCAGAAGAGGCTGAAGATGCCACGCTTCCACCTATACAGATAACCCTTAGGCTTTCTGATGATGTGATGTATTTTGAAGATCCTGTGATAGCCCGATGGGATCCTGCAGGTACCAACTCAGGGCATAAATTCATTTTAAATTTGAAGAATGGAATTTACACCTCAGTTTGAGCATTTCCAGAATCCAGCTGTATAGATAAGAGCCAATTCAGAGCCCAGAAATAATTTGAGGACAGTGTTAATAGATTGGGGTTTGGATTTTTTTTTTTTGTTCTGATTTGCTTCTGCATCATCTCTAATAATGAGCTGCTTGTTGAAGCTTTTTTACTCTGGCTTTTTAATATGAATGGGAAAAAAATACACAGCATTTGTGGTACACAGTTGTACTACTGCCCATTAAATCACCTTTTGCTAGCATGGAGTCATGGGAAGTCCCCTTTGAGACAAATTACCTCCTAACTACATGTATTAGGATTAACTTCAAGTACAAAAATAAAATATTAAAAACCAAATGTGATATTCTAGTTATTAGAAAAGTACAACATACCTTTGACTTTACATCCATGAAAGAGAGTAGAACCTATTAAAATGGTTTGATGATCGAAGTTACTGTTGAAAATGAGCTTGTGGACTGCTATAAAGCAGGTAGAAACCCAACAGTTATCTGTATTTCTTTTGAGATTAAGGAGAAGCTTTCCTGTCACCATTAGCCCAATCTTGTACTTAAAGACAATTAAAATGAGAGTTCTTGCCTTACATGAATTATCTTTATTTTGTGCCTAATATTTTATCTTTACTCTGAATAGCAGTTAATCCAGGATGCCTTTACTAACCATTTCTTCCCCAGCACATATCGCAAGCAGAAGCTTTTTGTATAGATGTTTGTATTTTTGCATCCCTTTTGTAAAGGCCAACAGTGGAGAACTGATGGCATCAGCAACGTAACATATGAAGCACAAGAAAAGAGTATCACCTTTGAGATGGGTGCCTCTTGTACAATAGCACTTCTGCAGGATGCTCATCTCCACCTGCCCTATCGGGCATGGGAATTGCGACCTACTGGTATGGATGAAGCAGTATTTATGGTTACTACAGTCTTTGCAACAATTCAGATACAAATTAAGGTACTGTAAATATTTTTAAATATATATACAGATTTTTTTTTTTAAATTGAGAATTATTACCATGTCCTGTATTAAGAACTTGAGATGCTTCCACAAGAGCAATTTGAATCTCACTCTGTGCTGGTAAAAATGAAGGTGGTTGTCTTCCTTTCCAAGCACTATAAGGAACAGTACTGCTGAATTTAATTTCAGTTATTTTCTGTGAACTGGTCAGAAGAAAGCATCTGTATGATTGTTCTGCAACGTTTCAGTAAGTGCTTTCATACTAATACTACCTTGCTGAATTCAAGACTAGCTGGTAAAAGAGACTGAAAGTTGTTCTTCTCCCCTCCCAACTATATAAAGAGAAATAAAAGCATTTCAAGCAACCTACTACTCATGATACTTACTCTCATGATTATCCATATGCTCATTGTCGTATAACTCAATTCAGGTAACAGACATGATTTAAATAGTATGAGCGTAAGCACAGGCCTGTAGACCAGTGTCATTTCTGAAATCCTCCAGAAAATTGTCTTTCTTGTGGATGTGTGAATGAAGATTTGCAGCCCAGACTGGCAGCTAAAGTAGGCAAAATCCAGACTAGCAAAGACATTAATATTTGATGCCTGCAGCAGAAAATAGCTTTCATAACCAGTAAGTTGCTTTCACTGGTTTGTACAACAGGGTAATCAGTGTATGTTATCTTCAGTAGTGGTGGAAGAGAAGGATGTACTTTCCCACATCACAGGAAAATGGATAAGTCCAGTTGGCCTAAGAGCAGTTTTGAAAAAAGCTGGTGTGAATATTTTCCCAGGAGAGTATTCTCACAAGTATGTCTCAGTGGAGAAGGTGAGTGCAAGTGGGGATGGTTTTCCTGTTGGTTTTTGCACCTATTTTTCATGTCAGTAACATTTTCTTCTCTGAAGACCTGTTGTATACTTAGCCCCTGATTCTGCACAATTGTGCCATCCTAGCCTGTGGATTCTGTTTAAAGCAAAGGTGTTTTTTTGGGGTTTTTTTTTGGCTTTTTTACGTTTGTATAACACAGAGAATTAGACTGACTGATATCTCTATGTATTTTCTAAGTTGTAGTTTTGCATTACAGGCACCCCTGGCAGAGGTTAAGGCCTATCAACAGATGGCACTGGTTGCAGCTGCTTTTGCTTTTGCCTGGAGCAAGTGGAATCTAGAAGCAGGTCAAGAGCAAGTAGTGTTCAAGGTTTGTGGATTTAGACTAAATTCCTAGAGAAAACCAGCCTAGAACTCTCTCACAGTTAAAGAGACAGAAACAATTAAATTCTGTAAGTTACACTCATCTCAAACATTGTCTTCAAACCCCTGCCTATGCTCTTAGTGCAGCAGTTTTAAGATGTCAGGTTGACTACTTAGCAGTGTTCAGTATGTGTCAGTAAAACTTCAAAGCCTCCTTCTCCACTGCTTCACAGCTCATCCAGATGCAAGTTCTCTAATAGGACACACATCTCAGAAACAAAGACACTTGATACTGACTGATGGGTCAGGTACTGAGGCTTTAGCCAAAGTTGGGATGACAGAGCTGGATGCTGATTTTCATGAAGTATTGTACTGTAGGGGTCAAGTTTTGTAATTAATATCTGGAATTTTCTTCTTATCCAGATGGCCTTTCATTTGTTCCCTACTATGAAGTGGGGGAATAAGCAACTTAAGCATCAATTTGTTTCCATCTGGGAACCAAAACACATGTGGTTAAGATGTCAGACAGAAAAATAGTCCCAAAGTTGTAGATACAGAACATACCATACTGTTGAAGTATTGAGACGCTCTCCCCCCTCTCTTGATTTAAATGCATGTGACATACAAATATTTAGCCCAATACTTAATTCCAGGAGCAACAACTAGAACAAATGATGCCTGTTGCACCTAGGTCCTCCCTCCACCAGAGTCAGGAGCATCAAGAAAGCTGCAGTGGCCAAACCTTGCATTTTACAGGGGCAAACTAAATGGAAGATTCTGGTGTTGATGCAGTACCTAGTACAGTCTTAGGCACAGAGACCTAATATTGTTTTAGGTGTTCAAAGCAGCACCTTGGTTTTATTTCTGTATGATGCTCAGGAGTATACTAGAATTTAGAATTTCATACTAGGATTTATACTCTGTCAGTGCCATGGACTTCATTTTTACAGCATATTTTTCTGCAATAGGTAAGTGAGCATATTAAAGCAGATTCTGACAAAGACTGGTCTCTTTACCTGTTTAATGGTCAGAAAGCACAAAAGCTCAAGATCACTGAAACCAGTGAAGCTTTTTCAGAAGAGCTAGAAGAAGATTCTGAATTTCACTCCACACTCTACCATACGCTTAAGGATTTTGCCAGCAAAGAAGCACTTAATAAAGTAGAAACAGCTAGCTTCCTGTTTGTTGATGTTGTATATCAGCTACTCCTTGCTACAAGAGTTTTAACATACTCTTAAATACTGCATGCTTTCCTTTGAAACTTTATTATCAAAAGCTTTCAATAAAGTTACATGTCAAGTCTTGAATGCTTTTCTATTCAAATCATTGAACAGCTTCAATTACTAAAATGCAAACATTTTAGTTTTGTTAAAGCAAAATAAATTTTTTATTCTCTTGTGGCTAGACCACTTCGTCATATTTATAGTTAGCTATGTTCAGAATTACCATTTTATTGTAAATCTGAACAGAACCGAGACCCTTTTAGGCCTTGTAAAGATGACTTTTGTCAGAATGGGAAGGGAGGAAGTTTTTCAATTTCAAGTCATGCTTTAGAAAAAAATAAGCTCCCCGAAAAACACCCACAACCCAACAAAACAAACCCAAATATGTAACCTTAAATATACTATCTCAGCTTCTCATACTATCATCCAGAACTCAGATGTGTAACTACAGAAGTCAGAACCTTTGTTATACTGGGGGTGGTCCATTGTGTTGAAGTCCTGTATACGGCCACAACAGTTGCTGTAGTGAAGTCCAGGAGTCCCCAGTTCCTACAGGTGCTGCATCTGCTGGTCTCTGAAGAGACAGCCCAGTGAGGAAGCTTGTAAGAGCAGCAAGAAGCACCAGGACAGAAACAGAAACCCAGAGAGTTTTGTTAGTGTTGGAAAAGGAAGTCTTGAAATGGGATGCCCATGATGACACAAAGTTGTACCTGCACAGAAGAGTAAGTCAGTGATTCAGTTTTTCTTGAAGTTGTAAGCCCTCTTCCCACCCCACTCCTTCACCCCCAAAAAACCTTAAAGCAAACTAGACCCCACAAACATACACATCCTTAACTATCAAAAGCAACAAGGTTGTTGCTGCATTGGGAGCTATGTACAGTGGTAGCTTATGCTCTGGGTTTAAAACGCAGACTTCAGTAAGCAGGTTCTTGATAAGCTGTTTAGGTGACTGACCCAACTCGTAAGTCCACTCATGCTCCTTGTACCACACAGTTTCTGAAAAGGATTCACAAAAGCTGCCTTGCAGATCATTAAGAAGTCTTGCTTGTAGAAAGCACTGAAAGTGATGGCCTTATGTTTTATTGTTTTCTAGGGCTTTGGTGGCTTCCTTGATGTTAGGGAGAAGTCTTGCCCTCACTAACTAACCAAATCCTAGACCTCTCATGACATTGGATACCTCCATCCTTTATCAAACAACAGGAGAAAATTATATTTGTTCTTGCTGTCTTTGGAGTTTTACACACTAGCATAATTTTCTCATCTCCCCCTCCATCAGGAAAGCTCACAGTGGAGGTTTAGCACTGGATATTCACATGGAATAAACAGTTTCTCTGCAGAGACAGCAGACCTCCTTTCTTGTAAGGCAAGGGCTTCCAGTGGGTACTCGTTTAGGACAGCACTCTTCCTTGATTTGAGATATTCTGAGAGGTTAGCTGGAGTAGTCTGGAGTTAGCAGCAACTTTGGCACACGCTAAGGCACAACTAGTTATCAAGATGGAAGTTTTGCACAAGCCTCAAATCCTTCATCATTTCTGCAGGAGTGCATGTTAGCATGACCTAGTAGCCTAGCTATAACAGCTATCACCAGGTAACCAAAAGAGGTGGGATCATAGCAGGAGGCTCCTCTTTACCTCAACATTTAGGATAAGTAATGAATCCCCGGTGGGAAGATTCCCTGGCATTAACAACCAAACCAAGGCTATGGCTTTACTTCCTCTTCCCACGTCCATCATCCAAACATTGCTTTACCTCACAGTGGTGTGAGAAAACTTACACTGACTCCAGGTTCCATCTTGATGAATATTTTCCTTTTTCAGAGATGCTTTCCTTCCTGGATGGTTGTTCTTGTACTTCAGCAGGTGTTTCCAACTGCTCATTTCTGTAAGCAAGCATTGACAGTTCCAAAGCTTTTCCATCAAGCATTCAATTTGACAGAGCTCACAATAGCTTCACTTTATAGCCCTGATCAGGTGGCAGACAGGAGTTCAATAAAAACAAACAATCAACCCTGCACACACACACCTCAGAGGAGGTTGCTGTTGAACTTACTTTGTTTCAGAATGTTCATCTTCATACTCTGCCCAGGAATACGTGCTAATGAACCGCTGTAGTGAAGGACGCTTCTCATGTTGCTTTGCTCCTAGTCGCCCCCTGTGATATTTTAAACAAAATTTGCCTTAATTTCCCTATCAGATATATAGCAGGAAATGCAAAATTTAGCAGCAGCCTACTCATTTCAGTAGGCCTTAGACAAATAAGTTTCAAAATCAGTTGCTAAAAATTGATTTTTTTTAAAAAAAAACCAAATCGATCAATACCAGGTACCTATTTCTCATCCTGTAGTTCTAATGCAAGACAGTTGAGGTAATTTTAAAAAAGAGCTGTAACATTTAGTCATGAAGGCTCAATTACCTATTGAAGCATATAAAATTAATGTGAAAGATGCAGCCTAAATGTTATTATACCTCAAGATGCTCCACAAGCTGCTTAATACAGGCACCATTTGAATAAAAAACTTAACCCTATTCAAAGACATGCCCAAGTAACTTTACCAACTGCTTGATCTCCTGGTGAATTTATCGCTTCGTTCATCTCCATCGGGTTCATGGAGCTGAGCCTAGAGAAGAAGTTTGGCACACTTACTGCATTTGCATTTTCACAGCTCAGCCCAGCCAGTTTTGAGAAAGTAAAGCACCTCACCATCTGGGAACCCTCACTTACCAGCGGCAACCCAATTCCTGCATTTCCAGTACTCCTAGGCACTGTTGCAATGCTAACTCTTCGGAGGGATGATGATGGCTATACAAATAAGAGGTATTACTGACTATCAAGGAATGACTGGATTACTCACTGATCACATAAAACACCATCTGTTTTTATACAAACTGTATAAAGAAAATAGATGTGGATATGTAGCCTGAAGTGACACAAAGAAGAATCAAATCAGAAGCACAGCCCAAACCATATTCTTTAAAGCAGCATCCTTCCACATTAACTTTTTTCCCCCCACCAAGCATCTGAGGTAAGGCTGGCTATACAGCTTCCAGCAAAATACCAAAAATGAATGTGTCTAAATTTCTCTAATGGTGCTCACAGGAATTCCTACAGTCAATTTGAATTGCTCCTGTCTATTTTTTTATCTTTCTGTGCTAAACCCTTTGTCTGTAACCCCAATGAGAGAACCACACGTGAGCAATATTTCTTAACCACTGCATCACAGCACAGCCCTTTCAGAAAATAAAGCTTTCATAGAAGCTGGAGTGGGACCACATGCAGTTCACTTGGGTTGATGGTGGAAGGTAAAGGTGATTGAAAAATATATCCTCATGCTTGATGACATCAGCCCATGTCTGACACAGAAAACCACCAAGTCAAGCATGTAGCAGAGCACCAGCACATGACAAAGCGAAAAACACAAGCACAGATGCACTTAAAAACATACTTGAAATTTCATCTTAGTCTGTAAGGGCCATTACCTTAAAGTTAAAAGAATTTGGTAGCTTTTTATTCGTAGATTCATCTGTGAAGAGATCAAACATCAGAAAGGCTTATAGGAATGCAGTAAGCCTTATGTGCAACTAAAGGTCTGACTTTCTGCAGTGTCTGTTTAAGCAAAGAGTGTATCAGAGTACTCTCAGAAAGCAGAAATGAGATTTCAGGAAAATGCTATTTCATTAGATGTTAATAATATTCACACATTATACATCCTCTACAAGCATCAGCTTCTGTTATCATTAAATGTATTCTTTTATTATCAAGTGTCCTGTTACGGGACAGTCTTTTACAGTCAGGAAGGAATAGCCTGGGATTCAGAAGCCTCCTGTGAGGATTTTACTAGTGTGTAACACTGCCCTTTCTGGTTTTAAAATACATTCTCTATTGTTCAGAAGAATTTAGTACTTCTTAGGCAAAGCCACAAGCGCACAGTGCCATTTGAAAACCTGACCACTGTACCATCTGCTTAGAGGGGGAAATTCAGAGCACCTGCACTTAAGGAGTCTGTAATTCATATTTAGAAAACAGCAGGAAGCATCTGCAGGGGGCAAAGCTCAGCTACCTGGAAATAGCTACTGGGAATGCTCCAGTGTGAACAAGCACCCAAATTTATTCCTCACATTGAATAAGATTGTCACCACCATGCACAATACACTTTTCTAAAAGCCAGAATGCTACTACATACTTGCAATGTTGCTCCCCCCACCCCGAGATCCATGACAGTTTACATACAAATCTAATTTCAGACAGTTGTTTCTAATACTGTTAGTAAATTGCTAATTTTTCCTCTGTTTTTAGGAAAGGAGACACAGCAGTAATAATAATCCCTCCACTTAAAATATTATGCTTCAACTTTAAGGGTCTCTCTGGCAGGTGCTAGAAAGACAACAAAGCAGCTTTTCTTAGTTACCTTGATCTCCAAGAGTACTAAAGGTCCTCTCATTCTGGAGCAGGACCTGTTTCAGCTCCTCAAGTTCTGCATGTTCTTTTGCATACATTCGCTTAAGGTTTTCCACATGTTGGATCATTACTTCCACAGCTTTGCTGACACGACTCTCCTAACAGAGTAAGGGCAACAGCAGTAGGAAAAAAAAAGAAGCAACTCTTTGAAGAGCTGCATCACGTTTAGAGTTTAAGACTTCCCCCCACCTCCACCTTTAACCATCTGCACTCTTCTTGTATCATTGTGATGTGACATTCTTGTATTTGTTCACCCTTTCAAAGTTTACAACACATGCCCAAGTTACACAGGTCTAATTTCTCCAGTAATTACTTTTATTCTAAAAGAAGTCTTCATTTTCTGAGCCCTTGCAACTCCTCCTCATCTTTCTCTGATCTACAGTCTCAGCTGCCACCACGGATTTGCTAGTATTGCCAAGTCATATTTTCATGTTGTTCTTTGGCATCATACACAATTACACATAACATTTGAGTAGGCCTTTGTAAATTTCCATAGAGTTAGCTTATTAACTGCCCTTTCCATAACAAACTGAAACAGCATTAAATCATTAAGACTACTGTTAGCACATTGCATTCTTGTGCTCTCTACTGTATAGATTGCTGCAAATTATTTTTAATATTTTTGGGCCTTTTTTGTTTTAAATCAGGACCCTATTTCTGTCATGTGTTTTTGCACAATGCTAGTGCAATGTGGCTGCTCTCAGTGCCTGGGATTCCTTATAATAACACAAACAGGGATCTGAGAAGAGAAACCAGGATTAAGCTGTACTGGTCAGTCTGCATCACATACACAAGATTCCCAAGTCTAGTTCTGCAAACAGAAGCCTACCAAACAGAGACTGCTATCCCTTTACATCTAGAAGCTTTTAACTTTATACAAAATACTTTCACATTAAAACAGTTACCTGATTAATAGCTCCCAACATCTCTGCTCTACTGGCAACTCGTGCTGCATACTGGCTAAGGAACTGCAAGCTTTTCTGCAACTTCTTAACAACCTCCTGTGCTTGATTATCTTCTTCACACAAAGGAACTAAAGCCTAAGAGGCATATTGGAAAAAAAACTGGTGTGAGATATTAGTAGAGAAAGAAGGGTGAACCCAACTGATGATACTGAAGAGTTGTGTTCAGGCCCACACAGTCACAAGGTCAGCATCCTCAGATACAGAACTGTATACATGCAGAAACTTCAGCTGACCTAGCATAAAATCAGCTGAAGACAGGGGTTCTTGCCAGATGTTTGTGCAACAGAAGAATTCCCCACTGCCTATGTGCACAATACACACAGATGAAGGTTACCTCTCAAATACTAAGTCTCATATTTCAACTGCATCACTAAAGAACTTTGTTCAGATTCTCTTAGTGTATTACACACATGCATCTTTAAAAGAGCCATATTAAGAGAGACACTTTCGCATGTGTTCATCTCATCCACCCTACCAGCTTTGGCCAATACTAACCTCTAGCATTTTTAGAGCATTTGTGATCTCCTTTTTCAAATTTTCTTCAGCCAAGTCTCGGGACCTTTCTTCAAGCTTCACTCTCTTGTCCAAGGTAAACAAGTCACATTTAAAACCTAAAGACAATCTCAGAAATTCAGCCTGTTATGGGAGAAGAAGAGATTTCAGAATAATACAAGTGTTACAGTTTTTAAAAAAGAGATTTGGATACTGACATAACATTTGAGACTGTACCCCATGAACAAAGTTATAGGAGAGATACAGAAGAGCAAGCAAACATAGCACACTGCCCAAAAGCCAGTCTTCCCATCTGTAGTGATAGGGGAAATAATCTGCAGCCAGAATAGGTGATATCCTGGCAGCATGCCACATGCCATCTGCATCTTTTGACAAAACTATCTTAAAACAGCACATTCTGCCTGGAAGGAGGCCACAGCTATGCTCCTTCAAGCTTGCAATCAAATGTTTCAGTAGGGACAAGTCTTTTGTTCAGTTTTGCAGATTTCCACCTTTTCCTAATTCATCCCTTCCAAAATTTCCATTGGGCTTGGAAGGACAGATTTCAGAAGCCAACATACAGAAATACATCCAGTTTAAGCTATGCAGCATCCTTGTTTCACATAGGAAAAGATATTAATCAGGGCTTATCTACAAGATCTCTGTTGTCCAAGATACTTAAGGATACAAGCAGTCAAGATTTACCTCCACTTCTTTCTCATTAGGGGAGTCACTGTTAAGATAAGAAAAAGAAATCATGTAACAGGCTGCAGCTTTAAATTCATACCTGCAGGTGATCATTGAAAACTGGAATACTTACGGCTCCTTTTGCTTTGTTTTATCTCCTTTAATGCCACCTGCAGTGGGTGAACTCCCTGAGAATAAACAAAAAAAAGTTCTCAGCCAAAAGTGAAAAAACAGCCCCCCAAAAACAGCCTGTGAAATCCTTTTAAGCTTCAACTGAAGCCACTGATGAAGATTTCCAGTGTCAACTCCTGCCAATGAAAACAACTTGTATACCTCAGAGTATATTAGAGTATCAGTAAGACAGCACAGCACTGTCACTTGTTCCTTCAACTGACATCTAATTAGTACAGGAGTCATTAACTATAGGTTTTCGCTTAAATCCCCAGCCCATAGGTTCAAGATGTTACATAACCACCTTTTAGTGAACTCCAAAGGTAAAAGGTGAGGTGACTATAAGAACAGATATCTAAGCACAGTTCAGTAGAAACATCATCCTACTTGTCTATATCACACTATCCCAAGCTCTAGCTAGCACAGAGGATGCTGCTTTACAAATCTATGTGGAGAGCAGGCATGCCAGAATTGTTTCAAAATATCCCAGCTCCTAAGAAATTTTCCCTTCTGTCTAAAGGAAAAACAGAGTTGGTTAGATCAGTATCAGTAGAAATCAGAGAAGCAGATTTTGCACAGTAACATTTTCCTTCTCTTGCTGCTAATCCATTTTGATCTCTAACTGCAGCTATTATTCCTTAAAACACAAACTCCTCATAGAACTTGGTGTGGGGCAGGCGGCTCTCTGTACCTCTTTACAGTTTTTCACCCGGTGACCAAGACATGCACTCCAGTGAGTTACACAAGTGCGTTAAGCAAAAACGTCTTACCTTTCCTACTAGGAACCACAGCTGGTGCTTCCTCTCTCTGCTCTTTATTATTTTTCTTTTCCTGGTCCACCTCCTAAAGGCATATCAGAGAGTACGTCAGCAAGGGGACAGCCACACCACCACTGGAGGGGCCTGTCCCCTCCTGCAATATTTTTCTTTGTCACTGCACAGCTAGTTCTATGTCTCACTGTCACCAGGACTCTTACCAGCTCTTGTTTTAAAAGATTTTGAAATGCAGTTTTGTGTTCTTCCATCACAGGGCAGAATTCCATCTTGGCCAGCTCTGCTCCTGGGGAGAAACATTCCATAAACCAAATGTAACGATAAAAACAAAGTAAGCCTCCAACATGCAGGGTACTAGCTGTGGACCAACAAGACTAAAAGAAATTTAAGCAAATGACAGGAGAGTACATTAACAAGGAGAGGCAGCAGCAAAGAGCACTATAAATACATAAAGGAAGAAGTGGGATGATAATTGTTTGACTTGAAAAGAATCCCAATAAGAAGTGTTACAAGTCTGCAAGTGAGATTATTACTCCTGGTTGTAGTTGCTGTAGTTGAAGTTGCAAGAGTTACAGTAATATTCCTTTTGATAAATGAATTTCATTATTTTGCTGTCAGCATGGGGGTGTTTTGTTTGTTTGCTACTTAGAGACTTCATAATTGATTTTTATTTGTAATTCTGTAAGTAGAGAAATATGTAAAAAAATCCCATGCACAAACTAACAGGAGAAGTGATGAGTCTTTGTAACTATCTTTTCATGTTACGGAATATCAGATGAAGTCAAGAAATAGATGCTACTTCAGCTGCTGTTTCAGAGGAGCTCGAGTATAAGCAGGTCATGAAATGCATACAGTTGTGGTATTTCAGATGTCCATGAGCTTTGAACATAGTCTGACACTTGGGCTGTCCTTTGTACGTAAAAGCTGAACTAGCAAGGTGCTGGTAGAGCCAACCAAAGAACTCTTTGCCAGATGAGTGGTAATGAACTGAGTTCAGGAACTGATGATGCTAGATCAAATGCAACACAGTTTCAAGTACTGCAATTTAGACAAGTTTTAAAGCAGGCAAAAATAACCTCCAGAAAGACAGTCAAAAAGATTTAAAAAGGAAGATATTTAAGAAACTTAAAGCCTGAGAGTCACACTAGTTTCTTGTGTGGCAGTAACTCTGGTAGCGATTTATACCTTTTAGATTATCTAGGATTTTTCTTTTTTTGGCTGTTGATGTAGTCACACACCCCCACAAAGATGCAAATCAAAGAAATGGCACAACAACCACCAGCTTCAGATTTGAAGTGCTTTTTCTTTTTAGCCTTCACATTAATAACAACTTCTGCTTAGCACTCCCTTTTGTCACTGCTGGTTGCTGCAGCAGCCCTGCATATCTGACCGGACCCCCAAACACCTTTAGAAGACATTGTGTTGTACTAGCAAAAACCACAAGTGGAGATTCAGCATCTCCATTTTAATACTAGAAACTTTCTATTCAGAGGTGTGCAACAGGATCTCAGACTCTAAAGCTGTTTGGATTCTTATCTGTTTTGCATATCTGTTTCCTCCTTGCCAAAGGCACCTAGACCACATATGAAAATTAACTGCAGAGGCAAATTAGTAGAAAGAAAACACATTTAAGTGAAGGGACTGAATTAGATGTCAGGAAGATAGTACTAAAGAAAGAAACAAAACCAAACAAGAAGTGACAACAAAGAGTCTTGTATTTAGGTAAAGGTTAAAAAATGGTTACAAACAAGCACACACATCCTGTGCTGCTTATTCAGATTTTTTTTAAAAATAGCTTAAACCTACACAGCATATGCGTAGTCGAGTTTTTTTAAAAACTTTAAGTGAAAGAAGCACTATCAAATCTGGTAATAATTCCTCTGGGTGTTTAAAGCTATAGCAGAAGACAGAACCATACACAAAGGCCTCTATCCTCATCTCTCCTCTTGACCTATCCCTGCTTCTCGTGCGCTGAACATCAGTTTTGAAAGAGAGGAGAGCATTATTTAGTCTAGCTATGTGTCAAACTTTTAAAGAAACATGAAAATATTCTCTCCCCTCCCAGAACTGCCTAGGGTTTACTACCCACACAATGTTCTGTCAGCTGAGCAAGCATCAGGACTTCACCAAGTGATTTTATGTTCACATCCTGCAGTGCTGTAGGCCACTGGCCGTCTGTAAGTAGGTAAAGCCTTATTCCTACTCAGAGTTTCAGGGAGGGTTGAGAGCACTTGCAGGCAAAAATAGAAATCCACAGGTTATTTTTCTTCCTCAGCTTCCTCACTTCAAAACTGCACTGGGAGCAAGCTATTTCCTCACAGCATGAGTGCCAGTGCGCTGCGGCAGTTACTGTACCTGCTACAGGACCAGCTGGATCCTTATCGTTGTTTTTCTCCATTGCTACAGAAGTCAGCACATCTTCCTCTTTTTTGTGTGAGCCCTTGGGTGGTTTTTCCTCCATAACAAGGCAGCCTATAACATCAGGCAACAGAAGGCAGAACTCTTACTTTTCAGTAAATGCATAGACTTGAGTGTATCTATTTCCAAGACTTTCAGTGCAAAGTGTTCATGTATCTGTGCCCCAAATTAAGGGCTTACCTGTTATTGGTGCAGTGCTTTCCAAAGAGGGTGTAAGAACTTCCGGGGGTGAAGTTAAGTGATCACTGCCAAAACAAATATATTTCAGATACTCATCCTTATTATAAAATCTTGATAAAGCCTTTTAAAGGCTTGCTTAGAACCTGACCTGGATGGGATCAGACTGGCTGGTAGTGTTGGCTCTGCACAGTCAATCTTGATGGAAACAGAGAAGAATTAGTATCAGGGAAAGGGTTGCCATGCGAGTAGAAGATTTGTATAACAAAGTTTAAGTAATTTCCCCAGCTGTGCCTAAGTTATTTCAGCAGTGAAGGACTAGATGGCAAGTGCATGCAGACTCATCTGCTAGTCTAAAGCCACACATACATACAATACGTAGCTTAGCACATTGTCGTCATTAGGAGCAATAACAATGTTTCTGCAGAAATCTTATCTCAGGAATATCATACTTAGAGATGTATTTTGGTTCCTGACTTCATGTTTTGCTTCTAATGCACATTTTCAAGTGACCAATGTATGTGTTACTGTACCACTGTTTTATCTTAATGCTGTGCATCAAGAAATATCCATTTTCAAGGTCTTGACCTCCAACCCCCCAAGTGAGGTGCACAGAGCTTTGCTCAGTTATAGATGTCAGACTCATTTAAGTAAATAAAAGTGTTACTGTTAACAGCTTGACCAAGCAGATGATTCATTATGCAGAAAACTTGGGTGTTGTGTAGTACATTTTAGTGTCTGTCTTTGAGTGACACTAGTTTTCAATATTATATATAACAATTACATAGCCACTTCAAAAGCCTTCAAGGCTTCTTCCTTTGTATGCAAAGAGCAGAAAGGCACTCAGCAGTTAAAAGCTGGTGTGTACTTATTCTCATGTTCCTTTAGCCACTACAGTGTGGTTCTGGACCAGAGTCTTATCACATCACAGGCAAAACCAACATCCTCTTAAGTCTTTTAATATGGCAAGGGAGATGCTGAACGGGTACCTCATTTCACCCTAGGTAACTCCAGCATGCTTAAGTCAATTGATAGATTGGTCTCTCTTTATGGGCAAACATACAGGGTGAAACAGAGTTTTAAAGGGTTGAGTCAGTAATGGTTCATGATGAACTTCACCCATTGCTCAAGAGGACTGATGAATAGAGAAAAAAAGAAACCACAACACAAAACACACCAAACCTATTTCCAAGCAGAGAAGGTATGAAGCTAGACAGCTTTGGGTAGCTCCCTACACATCAAGTATCCAAGAGCACTATTGAAGTCAAGGCAGGGACAGCAGAAAAAAACCCAAAACACCACATATCAGCAAGTGATCATCTATGTTCTAGTATCTTTTCTCTTCCTCATCAAACATCCTCAGAGGACCCAGGAAACCTAGCAAAGTTGAAAAGAAGGTAACCAAGGCCCCCAGTCACTTCCAGGAGCAACTGACTTATCCCAGCATGATTACGTGCCTTCTCTCTCCTCTCCACCACCCATCAGAGCTCAACTGCACTCAGAGCCTTGCCCTGACCTGCCGGATGTTTCCTCTAATGCAAATCCAGACTATTTTTATACTTATTTAAATTATCTATTATTAAATAATAGAAGTACAGCATTGCAGTTACCCTGTTCAGGCCATTAGGTCTACAGGAATATAGGGGAAAGAAGGTGAAAATTAAGAGCATGTTGGAATGAAAACAAAAGAAATCTGAAGGGCTTTTAAAACACACACACCCCCCCACACAAACAAGAAAAATCTTGCATCACCTGGAACTGACTAAAGTGATACATTATTGTACATGCCCTCTCGCTCCCCAGATAATCGCATGGTCAGTGGTTTCTGTTTCCAATGAAGGAAAATCCTCAATTCATTTTTTAAAGTCCATACAGACTATTAAGATTGTGAGCTCCCATGGACTGCACAGGGTACACTTAAAGACAAAAAACAACAAGAATAAACCCCCACATTCAGAATTTTCTAGTAAAATCTGTTTGTACAAAGCATTAGAGAATGGTTCTTTTTCCTAACAAAAGGATTGTGTCACAGAAGATCCTGCAGTACAATCCTAATTACTTTTTCTCCCCCCTCAATCCTTTTGAGTAGTGTAATAATCCAAGGATCCTCTATCACAGCAGACAAATTCTGGCCACAGTCTTGTATAACTCCTCCCAAACAAGCATTAACATTAAAAAACAGCTGGTAGGCCTTCCAAGATTGTGATACGACTTTCACATTTATAAAAGAAAACCAGTCTAAAAAGCCCAAGCTTCATCCAGCTCTCACAAGAGCTCCTTTATTAAGTAGCCCCTAAACTCCTACAGTGACAACACTTAGACAAGACAATTTGAGTTAGTTACATACTGAAGGGCTCAATCTGCTCAAACATATCTGCAAACACAGTTTAACAAAAAAAAGATAAAACACCTAGGGAGTCTTTTCCTATTAAACAAAGGCATTCAAATTTTGGTGCACATGACAATTTCTAGAACAGATACTGGACACAGCCTGTTTGCTTTTTCTCTGGGACAAGGTTTAACATCTTAATTTTCCCCCTCTAAAATAGTCACACAGAAATTTTATATATTGAAAAAGAAAAATGGAAAAGTGACATTTCTGAGCCCAGCTGGAATTACAGAAAGCTCACAAGCAATGAAATACAGGCATTTCAAGCACCTTTGCAAGGCTGTGACTTTCCAGAAGGACCAGATAAAGAGAGAGCCCTTAAGATTATCCTTTTCAAGGTAGCTTAAGTAATAGCAGCACAAGCTAGGTAAGTTCCTTACCCGCTCTACCCCAACAGAGCAGTATGCTGAAACCACAGGTAGCCCCCACCACTTTTACTTTTTATCCTCACTGCACTTGCTGCCTTGATTTGCCACTACAACCAGACCACTGCTGCAGGTGCCACACACCAGCGAGGGTAGGTCTGAGGTTGCCTGCAAAGGTTATTTCCAGGTTCACAGAAAACACTGACCAATATTCCTCCATCATCACCACCAACATCAATACTGGGGCAATATTCTTCCATCATCACCACCACCATCAATACTGGGGTTTGTAAAGCTAATTAGAAGCCTTACGTGGCAGGGTTGAGGTCTAGAATTCAACAGTGAGTATTATGGCACTGAGCACAGAGCAAAACAAGGTGTGCTGAGCTGCAGCTCATCTTGCTGTTGCCATGAGAAAACCAACTGACAGCTCAAGCTGTAGATGCAGGATTCAATACAGCAGTGAAGGCATATCTAGCACACCAGCTGAAGGAAAGCTTTCATACAGGAAAAATATCATTTGTCAGCTGTTACACAATAATGGTGGGAGAAAGTGCAGAGAAAGGCAGCACTCACAACAAAAGCATCCTGTGGCTTCTTGCAGGTGGGTAAAAAGAGCAGAGACTTCCCTAGCAAACTGAATATTACTGCAGAAACACTGTCTCAAGCCTTGAAACCACATTTAAAATAGTCCCCAGATAAAAGCATGGTCCAGACAAACATCAAGACATTTAGGTCTGTAACTACAGTATTCCAGAAGTGTGCCCAAATAAAAGGGACTACCCCACACAGAACAAGACATCACAGCACCCTACTGACAGATGCCAGCTCCATTCACCTTGGAGCAGTGCTAATTTATAGCTGCTCAATCTGGATCTGGGTCCAAGTAGGGCACTAAATACTTGAACCCATTTGAAACCACATCTGGGACACCAGAGACGGCACTCACCTCAGTAAGTGAAGAGTCCATCATTGTAATGGAAACAGGAAGGTCTGCATCAGTATAGTTACCAGCAGAGCATATTTTCCACCTGGCAATACACATTTTATTTGCATGTTGCCCAAACAACAGTGAGATACATTGCCCATTTTCCTTAAGCACATAACAACTGAAGTCACCACTATCTGTATAGTCAGACAGCTGGTCTCTCAGAGAAAGACAAATTCACCACTTACATCAATCCCTCCTCCCCCAAACAGAAAGAACCACCACCAGTCCCTTCTCCCAACCTCCTCCACACTGCACAATTCTACAGAAAACTAGTGGCAAAAGCTTCAAGAACTGCAGAGTGGTTTTTTTTGCTGCAGACTGCCTGCCTCTGCATCTTCAGGAACATCCTTCTCTTTTAAAATATTCACTGACAATATTTAGTTAGCTTTCATAATCTTAAGCAGTTCAATCTCAATTTAAAGATCTAAGGAGGCAGCTTTGATAAGCAAAGACCTCAGAACTCCTGCTCTAAACTCGGCAAAAAAAGATATGACTCCTCAAAGCCAACAGGATTTTGGCTCCTATATGGGAATGTCAGTTGTGAGTTAAATACTGAACACAGACACAAGAATGCCTACATCATGCCTCAGTTCTCCAGCATGAAATGGAAATACCATCACCATATTTGAGAGTGGTCATACCAACAGTTTCAGTAAAAACTTTTAATATTACTTTTGTGCATAGAAGCAAAGCATCACTGTCAGCTGACCACCCAGTGTCCAGTATTTCCTATGAAAGACTTCCTGCTGTTGAACTCAAGCATGTGCTGGGGATACAGCTTTCCCTTGGACCCTGCCAGATTTGGTGGACTGTTCCACCTTAGACTCCAAAGAAGTTTTCTGCCATCTTACTGGCACCCCACTGATGTCACATCTGAGGTGGATGCATGTCCCAGATTGCACCTTTCAAATGCGTAGCTGCCAAAGCTCGTTCTACAAGGCTGATCCCATCCGTGCACAGGAGAGTTATTTAAGCATGAGGTTTCCAAGGCCAGAGCATCTGTTAAGAGAGACAAGTGTGAAGACTGGCTGTCGTTGGTAAAGTTGGCTTTAGTCACATATCAGTTTTTGTCTAAGTCTAAAATAATAAAGAAGTAGACCAACCGAATACAGATCTACAATAAGGCAGCTTC